GCGGCTGCACTAAGGTCTGTGGAGCTCCGGTTCAGCTCACTGCCAGCAGTGGATGCATTTGTGCCTCTGGACAGATGGTGGGGAAGGGGCCAGGGCTGCACTACCACAAGATGGATTGGGACTCTTGTGGCTCCCCTGCCATTTTCCATGAGGTATGTGTGCATCCACTGCCAGCAACGAGCCAGGTCGGGGCTCCGAGGACCATGGTGTAGCCACTTTTCAGTCCCAGCCCCCAGACAGCCATGCACTGGCAGCCGCAGCGGGCGAGGAACTTTCCCCAGCCTGCTGCTGCCACCCAAGGCTTCACAGGGACAGTGGTGGGGCTTGCCGCTGTTGCCTGCAGTTGGCTTGGCTCCCCAGGCAGCCACAGGCAAGGGGCTTTCCCAATCCACTGCTGCCACCAACACACAACTGCCTGGGGGTCAAGGCTGGCTGCAGGCAGCAGCAACGAGACCCGCCACAGCCCTATAAAAACTGCAGTTGGCAGCATGGCTGAGGGGTTTTCCCAGCCTGCCCCAGCCACTTCAAGAAAGAACATACAGATGGGGGCCTGTCTCCAGTAGATGCGTGCTATTGGTTAACTGTTTAACTGATAACATTAGGGGAATTTAAATGGGTACTTAATTAATCATTTACATCCCTAGTGTACTCCAATTTCTTAGGTATTGTAAAAGATTTTAAAAAAACCCATAAGAAGTATGTATATGTAGATGACCAGATTACTTCCTTCTAATAACAGTGTTTCCTAATTTTTAATTTATTACATGGTAATACATGAAAACAAGTCTCTTATTATGTTGAAGCATAATCCAACTAAATATTTTAAGTCTTAATTTAGAAAATGCTCTTTATTATACAACTATTTCTTCAATCTTGTGGGGAAGGAAAAATAACGTTATTTTTGTAATTTTTCTTTTTAAATCCTCTTAAGCTAAGAACAGAATGCTTTCTTAGTACAACATCAATTGACAAATGATTGTATGAAACTGCCAGCCATAGACTTGCAACTGATTTAAGGAGGGAATGCTCTATCCTCTGCCAAGTTAAAAAATAATAATAAATCAAGAAAAGGTATGGCTCAAAATTTCAGGATATATTCTAGTGCAGTATCTGGCAGTTATTCCATTTTTTAGAAATGCAATAAATAATTTATGACAACACACAACACTTCCTCTTCCTCCTCCCCCATTCATAGATGCTATCCTACATAATGTGCCCTTGCTTTTCTACTAAAATGTTAAAAAGCAGCAGCTTAATATCAGTGACACTTCAATTGTACAATAATACCATGCAGCACAAATTGGACTCAATTACCTCTTATTTCAAGTCTCTTCCCCACTCCCCCAAACTCCTCCAGATTGTATTTGTGTCTCACTGTAAACTATACCCCTCCCCCACCAACTATGCATTTTGAAGCACTGGAGTGAAATAATGTCATAGGTTATAAAATTTACGTATAACAAAAGTGTTTTAATGTTCTGAATTAAACTGGTATGAACAAGAATTTCAGAGGTCTGACTGCTGGCACTCCCTTTTTACATTATCCACTTCCCTAGCTGGTATAAAAATAGAAAAATGCCAAGGGAAGGAAGTAATAGAAACTCATTCAGGAAATTGATAACAGGATACAAAAAATTTCTCCACAAGACATTAACAGAAATCCCTAGGCTATTATAATAGTGACTATGTACAGAAACTGCATATATTCTTGGATATGAGAAAGGAATTGCTTTTTTAATGTGGACATATTATGAGCAGAACAGAAACTAGAGCACCATTGTAATTCATAGTTCTCGTTAGTATCCCCTCTATCTGTAATCAGATTTGAACACTGGGCAAAATCCTGGCTCTGCCAAAATCTGTGGAAACTTTGCCACTGACACCTGGATTTCACCTTGTATTTTACAAGCTAAATACAGTTTTCAAAGAAGAGAAGAGAACTATTACTTCCATTATTGGAACTCTACAAACAGATGGAAGTCTTCCCAAAATCCTGCCACTGTCAAGAAGAGAAAAAGAACATGATAGGAACTGAAAAATGCCATAGAGAAACTTTACTTTTTGTAGGAAAGCAGGAAAACAGCTGCTATAGTAAAAAAAGCTTAGCTGTTGTAATTAGATTACTCATCCTGTAGCAACCACAATTCTGAACAACAGTTCTGACTTCTGCACTTTTTTTTTTTTTTATTGTTCCTTTGACTTCTTAGGTACCAACCCAGTTTAAATTGTTAGATGGCTAGGGAGAAAAACTGAGAAAGTTGCTCATCTTCATGACCTATCAACCCAGTTCATCTGTCTGATTAAATAACAGACAGATGTCTATAACCTGGAGTTCCTAGGTTTATATAAACCTCAGGAGGTGAAGCAACCACAAAAATTTCATTCCACACACAAAAATGCTAAATTATTTAGCATTAGTTAGCTTGGTAGCATATTCAGTAAGATATAATATCAAAACTATAGCAAATCACAAAAATATCAATACAGTGTTTGACAAGTGCTTAAGAGAATGTAGTTTGACTAACATTTTAAATTTAAAATGTATTAACATTGCAATTTGCTTTTTCGGTGCAAATCCCAGCAAAATACACAACAGATTAGAGAACCAATGAAAATAAACATGCAGCCAAATAAGACTTATATGTGCAGTTCTGCTAGTGCACTTCTGAGGCAAGATGCATGCTTTTTGGAAGGGGGAGGAGAGGAAGGGGCGGGGGATAGGAGGCAATATATTTTTGCTGGACCAACTGCATGGTTGGGAGAGATTTTAGACAAGCTCTGGAGCACAAAGTACTCTTCAAGTCCAAGAAAGAAGCAGATGCAGCTTATGCTAAATACTGTTCACAGTTACCTTACCTTTTACTTTCTCAGACCTGGTCTCATAAAAGATGTTACCACCAAAAATATCCTTGATTCTTGCATATTTCTTGGACCATCATAGTTACACTATTACTCCAACATTTTCCTTGCCATATGCCTGTCATTTCACTACCTGACCTCCTTTCCAGTAGGCAGTTCCATATATGACAAAATGTACAGCAGTCATAACCAAAGGACCCAAAATCAGCACTTCTGCACAAGATTCATATTTTCATAGACTAGAATGCATAAAGCTTTTATATTTACCTGAAAGGAAGGTAAGAGATGGTTCCAGACAATAAGAGCCTGTACACATTCTCTGGGGATTCTCTCAAGTATATTATCTGTTTTTAGAAGAAGGAAAAAGAAAAATCTGTAATGGTAATTTTAAGTTCAATAACAATCTCTCGCAACCAAAATGCCTTTAAATACATATGCTCACTAATGCCATGCAAGCATGGCATCAAGAACAACAACAACAAAAAATTAAGCAGATGATGCAGTGAACTAAAATAGAGCAGATGCCACATAATATTATGCCAATATTAGCAAGAATATGAATTAGTCTATCTACTGGACAGACTTGCAGGACTTTTGTGAAGTTTCAGATTCCCGTGAAATTGCTTGTGACACTTTACCTACTAAATGCTTCTGCAATATGTCTATGAAGAGGCATTACAGAGAAAAGAAAAATTTAGAAATTTTAAAACAATATTCAAAATTAAGATATTATCTATGGATTTTTATTTTCTCTCTCATACCAAAAGAACAACAAAGTAAAAGTAACCAGTCTACTCAGCAGGCAAAGATAAGTAGTAGCAAGTGGGTGTTTTGATCCTCCAAAAGCTGAACTAGATGATGTGCAGCAATCCAAATCTTGCATTTCCTCTACTGCACAGCCTGAACAAACACTGGGTTAAAACAGTGTTCGTTAATTAAATCCAGATGCCAACAGAAGAGAAAAACTGCAGACTTGAACCTCAATAGAAGCAACAAAACCTGAGAATGTAATGAGGGCAAAATATTTTTAGTACCAAATATTAAAAACATTCCATTGTCAAAGGAACTTGGCAAAACAAAAACGTCAGCTTGATGAAGCCCTAGTTCATTACAGAGGCCTTTAAAACTGCTGGGAGACTGATCTATTGCTGATGACTATCAATGAGGAGTCAAACCACTCACTGGTTTTGTTACTGGTTAAACAGGACCTGTTGACAACCACTGCTGTAGTAGGTCAGTCTCCCAATGTAAGTGCCCTTGTATGGTCCAAGTTTAATATGAAACTTCACACCAAAGAACTGGAAATTCTTCCCCTTATGAGGAAATATCTGCTTTCTCTCATTAAAAAGTATTCCATGAGCCACCTTTGTAAATAAAACAAAAAATTACCATGTAACAACTGTCATTTACTGAGGTAAGAATCTTTTGAATTGTTCAGCTGATAGTTTATAGCTTTTCAATAGTGCAAATAGAATCTAGTTGTTTTAGGAAGTTACTTGAAATTTAAAATGTAAAAACAAGAAGCCTGTAAAATTTAAATTAGACAATTAATATTTCTTAGATTAATAGATTCTCTATGGTTTCTGTTCAAATGAACGAAAATCTACTTAAAACGAACTTTCCTCTCAAAGTTAAAGACAAATCTAGGTTCATTTGCCAGTTTTAATTTTCTTTTTTTCTTTAGGAAAAGTGGGTGTTGCCTTACAATTATGTTTACCCAGCTTGACAGACAGCATGAGTCATGTTTTAGCATAGCTCTGAAGTTTAACAAATTATTTTCCATGGGGATAGGTGATTAAGAGTAGGATTTGAATATGAATTGGTAACAAAGCTGGAAGCATTTACACAAAAGAAAAAAAAAAGTCACCTCCCAAAAAATCCCTACACCAATGGTTACCTTTTACCATTTTATACTCTGACTTGACCACATACAAGCAGAATAACCAGAAAAATAAGTGCTATTGCTAGTAGGAGAACAAAATAAAAATACAGCTCTCTTCATACGAACCCCAACTTTAGACAGTTTACTTTTGGTCATTTAATTATGCTAATTTGCATAAATAAAGTTTAGTCTCCTGTTTCTCCTGAATGCAAGCATTGTTCAAAAGCTGTTCCTCAACTACTATTCTGTGTTAACTACCTAATTAGTATTCCCAGGACTATACAGCTTAAACACCATACTTATTCATTACATGGATTGGAAGTATAGGCTGTATTCCAAGAACATTCAATCCTGCTTTGGTAAACATAGGCTACACATCCGGTAGCACTACAAATGCAAGTTACTGTTAATCCAAGTAGCAGCAAATGCCTTGCATTGCAATTTGCAGTCAGTCAAATACACTAAACATAAATAAATATACTAAACAATTTCCTTGCCTCCAAAAGCTTACAAAATATATGCATGGAATGGTACAAGCAAACAGGAAAGCTTTGTCCATACTACAGTCTAGTCCAGGACTAACTGGTGGCCTGTAGGCCACATGTGACCCTGCTTGGCCAGCACTCTCCATACTGCTCTGATTGCAACAGCAGCAGGGGACTCCAGGCTGTTGCCTCCATCACAGAGGGTAGGGCAGTGTGGCATGGTGTTGTAGACAGTGAGGCTGGGATCATGGTGCAGCAAAAGGCAGGGGTGGTGAAGAAGAACAGGTGTGGGGTACAGTGGCAAACGTATCCACAGTGTGCAGCCTGGGGTCCCATGGCTCACCCCGATTGCAGCCTTTACTGATGCAGCCCCCCCCCAGCTGCTTAGAAGTTGGACAGCCCAGGCCTAGTCTATACAAACAGAAGGAATGTAGCTTACACTGCCTACCCTCCTCGCACAAATGCAGTGTACAGTAGAGTGTTTTTCAGTATTATAGCTTAATTTTTTTTCCCTGAACAAAAGCTGTAGCGACAAAAAGAAATTAAACAACCTTCTTCTGCAAAAATCTTGTTGGTATAATAAAAGATATTCTCTACTACAAGTCTGTAGTGACAAAAACACTCTTTTGCCAGCACATCTACAGGAAGGCTCTGAAAGTATAGAAAGGTCATTATATCCTTAACTAACATTACTATACCAACAAGTTTAAGTACAGACTTGGCACCTAAGAAATTATATTATTATTAAAATAGTACTGTAAACACATGCACACAACACAATATCAACATTTGTCATAGACAAGGGCTCTTTTTAAGTCCAGGATGATTATTTGCCCTGACTGTTCTTAACTACACTGAGCATAAGCACATCTAATATCATGTCAACACAAAAAAGATGTCAGTTTCCAAGACAGAAACTCTAAAGGAGAAAGTACAGAGCAAAAGAGAAGTAATATGGAGCACAACCACTGAAGACAAAAGATATGAAGGGATACTGGAGCTTTTTCATAAGCTTTTAAAAAAGAATAGTCTTAATGAACTTTATTTGGGAGACTGTTTTATATGTAACTTGTTGCAGCCACAAGACTTGATAAAACAAATCACATGCATCTCTAAGTAAGAGGCTATTATAGAACTTGGTTAATGTAGGAAAACTGATATTACGACCTACTTTTGAAGCAGAGTGTTTCAGTGTTTATATGCAAGTGGAAGGCCATAAAGTATTTCTCTCATATATAAGGAAAATATCTTGGCAATAACACCATAGAGAAAGAAGCAGTCAAGGTGAAAAGAGGCCAGACACATGGTACTGAAGACACTAAATAACGGTTGAATTATGGAAATATTGTAGTGCAGCAGTGAAGTTTTTATGATGGCAGGGGGACAGTATAAACTAAAAATAATACCACAGATGAGTGATGGCTAAAATTTCAAATGTTTAGAATGTTATTTATTTAGTGCTTATTGCTTATCATTCAATATAAAAGTGTGGCTAACTAGTGTGCTACAAAACAAAATCAGGCCCTCATAGCCTAGCAGGGGAGCAGCTTTGTAACAAGGCAGTTCTCACACATACCAGAAATAGAGATTTTTTTTCTGGGAGTAGAGTGTGTCTTGGGAAGAGAAGTGGCCCCATCTTCCATGCATTCAAAAGATAAGAGCGCAGCTGCAGGAGCTAGCTTGTCCTGGTACCTAAAAGTCCCAATTAAGGATGAAAAGATTCCAACTATATGGTCACGTCTTACTAGATGCCTGGCACGTGAAACACATATGGACAGTACCTCCATTGGTTGGACAAAGTACACTGGACTGGACCACCAATGGATGAGCACCAAGGTAGGTACACAATGAATGGACTACAGGTATAACACTTGAGAAGAACAAAGGGAGCAAGTGTTCATCGCTCAGCAGCTTCCTCCACGTGAGACCACTGCAAACTAAAGCAAAAGACGGGCTGGAGACAGAGGTCCCGACACATTTTGGGACAGGCACTGCATTAGGACATGGGGAAGAAAATACTAGACCAAAAAAAACTGTGAGAGCTGAAAATCAGTTTGTTAGAACAGACTGGCTTTCATCAGTGAAACCCAGAGATATTTTCCAGGATTTTATAAACTCTTAAAAATAGCTACTTTTTGTGAAATATGTACTTTCACTAACGTCAATAACAACACAAAATATTTAAAAGGGGAGAAGAGGTTACTGAGAATTGGAAGTAACAACACCATCAAATGCAATTTTAGAAACAAGCTATTTAAGGACAAGAAATCATACAAAAATAAATTGGAAACATTCCTTATATAATCCGTGCACATACAACAGCACAAATTTCCCTGGGATCCCCTTTTCAAGCAGGCAAAAGCCAGCTGTTTATTTAAAAATAATAATAGTAATAATAAAAAAAGGCTTCTAAAAGAGAAAAAAATGACTTGTACAATGGACATATCTGTTGCTCTGCTCATGAGCACACAATAAAT